GCGGAACGCATCAGGATATGGGCCGAGGGCGTCCGTGAGCCAAGCGGGCGAAAGGCGGCCATATACGCACGAGCTGCTGATAGCTCGCCCACGGCGTATCTCCGCACGCCTACCACTCCTGACGATACGCAACTCCACTGCGACACCAACGCCTTCAAACCTGACGAAGCTTGCACGGACGACAGCGACGCTGACACCGAAGCTGGCGGCTTCAGCCCCGGCGACGGTAGTTCGCCCGACACGGACAGCGACGAAGACCACACCCGTGAACCACCACCTGCGCAAGTCCCCGACATCCTCCCTGCCAACGCCATTGTTGCTAACATCAAGGACATGCTGAAGCTCATGGTCGACACCTGGGAGCCCATCTTGGGCAGGTACCGCGCACGTGCGGGACATGATGCCGAAGCCATGCCGACGTGGGCCGACTTCTACGACGAGTACCGACAGGAGCTGCCTACGCCATCACCAGCTACCCCTTTCCACCTCACCGACGACCAACTCATCCACTTCATTCGCACCCGTTCACCGAGACGCGCGGGGGGTCTGGACGGTTGGACTACTAAGGAGGCAAAGGAGCTTCCCGACGACATTCTTCGCCTCTTCGCCAGCGTCCTACGAGCTATGCAACGCACTGGCACCATCCCAGAACCCCTCCTCCACGTCCCAAACCCGTGCCTCCGAAAAGGCCGAGGCGAACTCCCAACGGACCAACGACTTCTCTCGGTGCTTTCCGTTTGGATGTATGCGTGGGAAGCACCAGCTTACCGCAGCCTCACGGACTGGCGGAAAGGATGGACCCACGCCACGAGTTTTGGCGCTGTTCCCAAAGCTACCATTGGGGACGTCAGCACTTCTCTCGCCCTTCGCATCGAACACGCCAGAGCCCTTCTCCTTCCCTTGGCTGGAGCTGCCCTGGACCGTCAGAAGTGTTTCGACTATCTCATCACGGACATATGCCTTAACCTCGCGCTTCACGCGGGGTGTCCCCAAGACATCGTTACTGTCCGCAGAAACTTCTACAGGCGCCACAAACGTTACATCCGCATGAACGGTGCGTACTCTAAGGAACTGGCCAGGACAAACGGTCACCTCCAGGGAAGCTCTTGGTCCCTGGACGACATTAAGCTGCTCATGTGCGTCTGGACCAAGAGACAGCATCGTTACGTGCCGCGGTCACTCAGCACTACTTTTGTTGACGACAGCAACTCCACTACCCACACCGCGCCCGAGTTGCAGAAATCTCTTGGATGAAACAAGCCAAGATCGATTTTTCTGGTCAACGCATTCATCCTGGAAAAGTGGCGGGGTGGGCGCTTACTGACGAGCTTCACACCGCCGTTACCCAGCTCACCTTGGCGGAACGGCCCTTACGCGTGGTCGACTCCTTCAAGCTCGTCGGAAGTTACATCAACGCCGAGGCAGCGCCGGCTCCAGCCGCGCTCAACCTCACGGCCACCGCTGACGCCCGTGTTCGCAGGGCGACTAGTCGCCTGCCGCGTATTGGCAAGCTCCCATCTCCGATGCGTATTAAGGCGCGGCACGCCCGCTCCCTTGCTGCCAGCGTCTGTACCACGGGCACTGACATCCAAGCCCCATCAGGCCCCGTCAAAACTGCCTACAACCATGCCCTTAAGGCGGCTATCCGCCCCAAGGGAAACAGGTGGGTCGAGTTTTGGACTCTCATGGCCGTGTGCGTCCCAGGGCACGCCCTGGAGATTGACGCCATTATGCAGCGTGAAGTCTTCCTGTGCCTGCGGCGACAGGTCAACCGCGACGCCACTCTCTGCGGCCTCGTCAGGGATCTCCAACACCATGTCCAGACCCTTTTTGGCGGAGGACCTGTTGGACGACTTGTTCAGACGCTTCAGCAGCTCCGTTGGACTTGGCCCACATTTGGCACCATGTACGACGACTGGGGCTGTCAGATCAGTTGGCTGAACCTTCCCCAAAACGCCTTCCTTCACATGCTGCGCGCCTCGCAACGCAGAGCCTTTCTGAGAAAAATCAAGCCACGGCGTCATGACCTTGGACACCTGGCTTCGGTCAGACAGGGCCTCGACCTTTTCGCCAGCACGTGGCTCGCCCGCACCAAAGGAGCTGCCAAATGCAACGCATGGCAGCTGGCGCTCCTCTTAAACTACCTGTCGGGCGGGGACCACACCCAACAGCGACGTTCTCGATCAAATACGTCCGCTGATCCCAGCCCTATTTGCCGTTACTGTGATGAGGAAGAGGAAACTCAGGAGCACACTGTGCGTGACTGCAAGTGCTGGGCCCGTGAAAGGGTCCCTCTCACCACCCTCATCAGTGACGAGCAGTGGGCCCGTCTTCCTCCGCACACAAGACATTGCGGGCTCTTCGATGAGGACCCAGCCCTCCTCGATCTGCAAGCCGACCTCGCGAGGGACCCGCTACCTCAACCCATACCGCGGCCCCCGCCTGAGGGAGATCCTGCGGCTTCAGCCCAGGACTCCTACACCACTTACCTTGACCACGACACTGGTTGGACATGGGTCTACGCTGCCACGGACGGTGCATGCACCAACCAAGCCATCCCTTTGCTTGCAAGAGCGGGCTACGGCGTCTACTACGGCATCGACCACCGCATGAACTACAGTGCGCGCGTTCACGGCATCACGCAGAACGCACAGCTTGCGGAGACCCTCGCCATTGTCCACCTCACGGCATGTGCTGAACGGCCCGTACACGTCTTCGTGGACAACCAGGCGGTGGTCGACGGCTTCCAAAGGATCATCGACGGACACTCACCTCCGCAGGGCACGCACGTGGAGTTCTGGGAAAAGGTCCACCGATGTGTCATGGCCAAGCCAAACATGTTCCGCGTAGAGAAAGTCGCTAGCCACCAGGGCGACACGGGCATCGACCTCGGGCTCATCGGGCCCATCGCGGAGGAGTTCAATCGTCAGGCTGACGCCCTCGCCACAGCGGCGGCACGTACTCATAACCTTCCAGACGACATCGTTGAAGCTGCCAAAGCACGACACCGCCAAGCGACCGTGCTCCATGGAGTCGCCGTTGCCATCTACGAGCGGAGACATCGTACACTTCCTCTCCCACACCGCAGGGCTGGGTTCACTGCTGCAGAACTAAACAAAATGGAACCAAATCCCCTGCTGTCTGACCAGGCTCCACCCGCGGCTGGACCAGACATCCCACAAAACCCCGACGAGCTCTGGGCCGAGGCCCAACGGGTGTTATTCGACGAACAGGAGGACGACCCGTTCGGCTTTGGTGGAGGTTTGGACTTCCTGGGCGACGAGTCAGCCAGCGCCAACCCTGCCCCGGCGGGCACCCGCACGGCGCCCCCGACTCCGCCATTGAGTGCGTCAGCCCACCCACATGACAACGCCGTTCCTTTTCAAGACGCTGATGAGCAGGACGATGACCTTTTCAGCCTCGGTGGGGGATCGGACGCTTTGGACGACGGACCAGCCAACGAAAACCCCGCCCCGTCGGGAAACCTCGCAAACCCTACTGCGACGCCGTCCCCAAGAGCGTTAACGCCCACATACGACGATATCGGTCACCGCCAAGACGCCGACCACGACCCGGGTGCCCCCCGAGGATTGAGTGGCATTGAGGACGCACCGCCGACACCACACGCTGCCGACCATGCCGCCCCACCGAGACACCAACCCTCTACGCGACCGACCTCAGCGGCCTTGCACGGCATCACGACTGGTCCCACCGCGCATACCACTCCGCCTCCCCATCGTCAGCGACCCGCGGGGGCGGCTTCAGCCCCCCCGCAGGGTACTAAACCAGACAGGCCCTCGTGCCCCACCCACGCTTCCTCCGTTGCTGAGCGAGAGGAAGCGGCTCCCCTGACCTCTCGGGGCGCGGCCCTAGCGGCTCCAGCCCTGGGGTCGCGCCGGCCCCTCCAGTCACCTTTCAAGGGTGACGGACGTCAGCGTTCAGGGTCCCGCACGCCGCTAGCCCACCTGGACAGGCGTACCGAGGACCTCGCCTCTGTCTCGAGATCCTCGGCGGATGTCACTGAGCAGCCACCTCTCACCGACCGTGAAACCGAGCTGTCACAGGCTATGGCTGCCCTTCAGCAGAGGTGCTTAGCTCTCGCCGCGGACCTCGCCGCTGCCCAAGCTCGTCAAGGTCCTCTACTCCAGCGCCTCCACAGCGCTGGGCGAGCCTTCGCCGAGCTGCTCACGACCTCGCCCGATGGTGTCGTGCCGTCACTCAACATCCAAGCTATGTTGTCATCGTTCCGCGGCGCTCCACCTGGTGCCCCGCGCTAATCTCCTCCTTTCTGCCTGCCCGTGTGTACGTGTGGCTCCGCGTCCACGGTGTCAGGGCGTGGGGGCGGGGGGTGCCCCGTCACTGCGCGCCGCTTAGCGGCCAAGCGCCCAACTGGCGGTCCGCCAAGCCGCCTAGCCACGTGCCAGCACGTCGCCTTTCTTGTTGGGGCCTTTTACCTCACGCGGTCTGTCAGGTGAGATCTTCATCGTCTGTCCGCCGTCTGTAGCGTCTGTCGCACTGCGCCGGGGGAGGGGGTTTTGTAGCCCGCCCTCGTATCTTAAGGCTGCACCGCCGCAAATAGTGCATGCGAGTTGTCGCACCGCAGTGCGCCTCGCGGACGGACCCTGGTCCGCCTACTTGTCCGATCTCTCTCTTTCTCTCTCTCTCTCTCTCTCCTCTTTCTCTCTCTCTCTCTCTCTCGCTCTCTCTCTCTCTCTCTCTCTCTCTCTGTATATATATATATATATATATGTGTGTGTATCTCTATGAATCTCTCTATAAATATATATATATATATATATATATGTATACCCTCTCTCTCTTTCCCTTTTCTCTATCTATCTATATTTCTCTCTCTCCTTCTCCCAGACTCCTTCTGCAGTTCTACCACCACGTAGCTACTGAACCGACCGAAAGGGCCCACAAGGCCGCGCCGCCGGCGGCGCCGCGTCCAGGAGCGCCCGGGCCACCGCCATGACGACCTTCACGCTGACCAGCGTGCGCTACTGGGCGCCCCAGCGGGTTGGCAGCACGCCGCGGCCCCTCTGCCTCTGCGAGGCGAGGACCGCGAGCTCACCCAGAAGCCCAGCGAATTTGCTGTCGACGTAGCCCCACGTCTCCACCGCACACAATAGCACGGACTTCCTGGCGGTGGGCCTGTACCGCTCCTCCTTGCACCGGGCTCCCTCTTCAGCGACGGCCCCAGGGGTGGTAGCAGCGAAGCTGATGATGTGGCATGCTGCCGAATCGCGAGCCGTGCCGTCCAGCAGGCGATCTTGCGCCGTGGGGCGACCAAACAACGCCACATCGAGGACAGCTTCTTCCAGCACTACTCTCCCATCGCGGCGTCGCTTTCTCAGGCCGAGGTCAAGGACCACCTATTCCAGCAGCGCTGCGTAACCTGCATCGCGGCCAGCCTGCGCCAAGATGCCATTGAGGGAACTGCGCCGGGCGGACCGGCTCAATTTTGCAGCAAAAGGCGTGGTCGCCGAAAACGCCCATGTCCTTTTCGCCTACATCTGCGCGCACTGGGCGCCGGCAGTATAGATGGGCGTGCCGATACTGAACTTGATGGCCATGATGAAGCTGTCGTCTTTCACCTGCGGCCACCATGAAGCCTGGAATTCGGTGAGCCATCTGCTGGAAACAGGGCCGCAGCAGCTCGCAAGCCTGGCGATCCCTCTCGGAATCCACCAAGCAGGTATGCGGTGACAGGGACGCTGCCGACTGCAATGCGTCAGACAACGCTGCGTGGATCTTGAGGGCCTGGCCCTATACAAATGCCTCCGGCGCAATGCTGCGCCCAGGCGGAGCACCGCTGACGACGACACCATCGGATCTGACGCGGACCGAACGCTGGGCCAGCGCATCCAAGCAAAAGGCAACCCCGTCAAGATCAATGGCGTCAGCGATGCTCTCGTGGTTCGGCAGCTTCTGCGCAGTTGAGGGCATGTACTGGGACGCCCCCGCAAGGTGCATGAAAAATCGTTTCGCGCCTGCGCTGACCAAGTCGCACCCGCCCAGGCGCGCCGGCAATCGTAAAACCATCGACGCGGACTACTTTACAAGATGTCTGTAACACCGCTCTGTCGAATCGCTCGGCATTGGTGGAGAATGGCTATGGATGAAGGACGCGGGAGTCGTAGTCTAAAGCTTTGTTCAGCACCTCGTCCAGCAACGTCCACGCTGCTCGGTGTGAGGGTTGAAGCATGAGCTGCATCGTCTGCGCGGGCTTCTCCGCCTGTTCCGTTAGGGAGACTGCCGGCGCGGCCGGGTGGCCGATTGAAGCGGCGAGCTGGCCGTCTGGCGCGTCCCCCATCACCTCCAGGCGATCGAAAACCTGGCGAAGGGGACTGCTGGTTGAAGAGCGAAGTGGAGAAAGCCGTCCGCCGCTGACGGCACCCACACTTTCGTCTTGGTGATGTTGAGGCGCATGCTTACCGTGAACAGCGCATCAGTAAGCAACGGCAGCCACGTGCACGCTAACGAGAGGTCGAACGTCATCAACATGTCGTCCATGCACTCCAGGTTCACGGGTGTACCACCAACAGAACACGGAAATTCGGAGTAGACGCCTTCGCCACAACTACATTTTCTGAGAGGGCCTCCAAGAAGAGCACGCCAAGGCGCCGCCATGATCTCGGGAACAGTGCCCGACACCCATGCTTGCGCCCACGACGTCAAAGTCGCCAGCCCAGAATCGCTGGAGGCGATATTCTTGAGTCTGGAGTTTCGCCAAGCACTCGTGCCAGAAGCTCTGCCATCCGCTGTCTTGGCAAGGACGGCACTAACAAGATTATTCTGCACAACCCCTGGCTTGCATCGTGCGGCCCGCTGCGATAAACCCGGGCGCTGCGCGATGGTGTCGCGCGTCGGGTCCACGATGAACTTGCCCTCTCGGAGGTCGACCGTCTCGGGGCTGGGCGGATGAACCCCGCTGCTTCCGAAAACCCAGCGGCCTGTGCTGGCATCGCCGTGCGCGACCTCAGCTGCGGCCGCGGCCCGCCTGGTAGCAGCGCGCTCTCTGGCTTTTGCAGCGTCTGCGTTGGCATCAACAACTGCTTGATGCCATTGGCCCTGCTCGAGTAATTGCAACCGGCTCTTCACGACGGGGGGAACCTGCGAGGTGTCCTGAGGAAAAGTCGCCACCATGTCATTGACGTCCGCTGGCTCCCGCAGATCCCGGGCGACAATGAAGTCGAAGTGGCGCAGGAATAGCGAGGCGCACTCAAGGCGCTCTGAATTTGTCCCTGGCCGGCCCAACTCGGAGAGGAACCACTCGAGCGCCGTCGTGGCGATTCGGCTGCATCTTTGGACTAGGTCTGCCAGGATGAACAGATACAAGGTCGAAGGTGCCTCTGGGAGGCTTCTCAGAAATGTCAGCATGCGGGCGAGGAAGGCGCTGCTGTGGACCCCTCTCTCTCCCTCTCTCTCTTTCTCTCTTCCTCTATCTCTCTCTGCATGTATAAATATGCATCTGTATATATGTATACCCCCTGCCCCTGCCGTTCAAAATTACTCAGTCTGAACATGTTAGCCAGCGATAATCCCAACAGATATGTGGTTCGCACTGTCGATGCGTAAGCTAGTTCTGAAAGCGTATGGTAGATGTCAATTATAGACCTGTTCATCGCATCCACGGCCCCGCGCGGGCCACAAGCTATCTGCGGGGGCGCCAGGCGCCCAGTACAACAAGCTCTAAGGCCGGCCTTGCGGGCCGAGACGGGCAGCGGGCAGCGGGCGAGGAGGCAGAGGCAGGCGCACTCAGAGGGGCAAGTAGACAAGGCACTGCTAGGAGAGGGTCAGGGCTAGGCGGGCTCCAGAGGGGTCCTCGGGCACACCCCCAGGGAATCTCAGACTCATTATTTTTCTTTTGTAGCTCTGACCATCTCAGTCACCCTGCAAGTCTTCATCTCGAACTCCAGCGGCCGATCGTTCACGTCGTAGTCGATCAGCTTCAGCTCGATCGGGTTTAGCAGCTGACTTCCGTGCGGCTCGCTGTGACCTCTTCTTCTCCTTTATCTTCACTGCAGCCTGGTCATGCTGAATCGTAATCTGATTCGTCCTCAGGTAATGTCGAACATGCTCCAGATAAACTCCCTCTTTCGTCAGAATATCCGCAAGGTTCCGCAGTCCATCCACCCACCGTAGTGTCGTGTTTGGTTGCCTCAAAGCCTCCTTTAACAAAGCGCCTTATATTGCCATCCGCTTGTCTCGGCTAAGGCCTGATCCTTCTTTCGTTAAATAATCATGCGCCGACTTGGCATCAGTCAAGAGAACCCTGCTTCTTCTCGCCACGATCTTCTGCCAGTCCTTCAAGTCGATCTTCGGGTTGAACACCTCCTCAAGTAAAACACACAGCCATTCACCAGCCTCCAGTGAACCTGCAAGGTGTGAGGCTTTAGCTGCAAGCGTGCTCCGGCAAACTCTCTGTGTCGACTTGGAGCTGTAATACATCATAGCTGCTGTCACCAGCTTCCCCGACAACACGTCGTGGTCCACTATGAAGAGAAAATGACAACCGATGCTCTTGTACCTGGCGATCTCGTCACTCTCGGGCTTGCCGTCCGCATGTCCTGAATCGCATTCAATCAAGACCGTAGCTCGACTGAGGTCGATGCCCTTCGGGAACTTCTGCATATAGTCGGCGCCTCTCTTGCCGTCGTTGATGCCCTTGTTGACCTTCACCAGGTCGGCGATGCACGGCGCCACCATGGCTCGTTGAGCTTGTCCCGCTTGAAAGGCTAAATCTGCTCGAAGCTGCCGCGACAACCAAGATATCTCTCCCGTAGCCTTCCGTAGCCTTGTCACTTCGTCGTCGGTAAGCGGGCTCATCAACTCCTTCTTCCGGTCTCGAGGGATCGGAACCGTCTTCATGTTCAGCGAGTAGCCCTTCATCGTTACTCCAACATCGCCGTTAGGTAAACGTTGTATATCACGTCCTCTGAAAACGAAATCCTCTTTGAGCCATTTCGAGAAATTCAGCTTCTGTCTCGTGCATCTGAAGGCCGTATCTTCGTATTTCTTTAGAACTCCAGCCAGCAAATCATCCACGTGAGTGCATAGAATACCAACCAAAGCGCCTGCTTTGTCGCGTAAGTATAACAAAGCTGGTTCCAAAACAGACTGAACCCATCCGTCCTTCTCCAATACTTCGCAGAAAGCCAACCAAAATAAACGAGCAGCCTCAGCAAATCCATATATCGCCTTCTTGGCCCTCAATAGTTGTCTCGGATGCAGTCCCTTTAAACCTCCACGCGGCTGACTGATGTAGATCTCGCGTCCTATACCTCGACCTGAAAAGTAGGCATTCTTTATGTCTCCACAGCTCATAACCATGCCCATGCTGGCGATCACGAGCAACGCCATTGCCTCCGCCAACTTCGATGCTGTTGGCGCATCTCTTCGGTATTCGCCGAGGCTCTTGTCCTTGAAGCCCTGGACCACCATCCTCGACTTCGCCTCGAACTCGGCGTCCAAAACGCCCTCACTCTTGTTGGTTCTCACCCACTTGGCCGGTATGATCAGGTCGCGCTTGGTCTCCCAGATCTGCTCACTCTCGCCGAGGCTCAGCGCATCGCAAGCATCCAGATCTTGCCAGGCCTTCCACTCCTTCTCATCCGAACCTCCAGGTCTAATAAATAACTGTCGCTTTGCCTCGTCGAGCTCCTTCAAGTGTAACTCTTTTCTCCCCTTCTTCGCCACTGTCGGGCCAGCCTCATAGGAGCACTCGAACTCATTACGCTCGACGCCGAAGGCGAAAACCTCCTTACTGACCTCGTGCTCGGCGTAGAAGGACTGGTTGACGTCATATGCTGAGTAGGCCTCGTTGATCATAGAGTCCTTATCCTCGTAGACCTGAAAGGCGTCGTCCGTCTTGATCGACTCGGGGACGTCATCCAGCAACTTCTGTCTCTTCGCCTCCCGCTCTGCAGCTTCCTCCGCTGGCCGACCCTCCTAGCACCTGCCGGCAGCTCCTTCCGCCGGGCGAGGCGGGAACGATGCCGCAGGAGTGTGGTAATCATCGAGATCAGGGCCCCACTCGTCGCCCATCGGTACTTGGTTGGATCGCACAGCCTCGTTGACAAAATCCTTCACCGCGTCCTCCATCGGGTCCTCCGCTTGTGCCGCTCCTCGTGGCTCGACTGGCGGCGGCGGTCCCTGCTGCATCATCGGGGGCTCCTCCTGGTAGGGGTCCTCCGTCACCTCCTCCGCGGGCGGCTCCTCCTCTTGGACCAGTGGCTCGGCAGGTGCTTCACGCTCTGCCGGCTGCGGCACCTCTGGCGGCGGTGCCTCTGGCGGTGGCTGAGCCGCCGCTGGTTCTGGTTGAACTGGTCCTCCATCTTCTCGAAACTCTGGGGGAAAAGGCCGTCGTCGTAGATCGATAAATCCATTGCCTCCAGCCGCCCCGTGGTGTCTATCAAATCCGCCTCCTGCGCCGTCACCAGCCATGATCGGACCTCCTCGTCGGAAGCCTTGGCAAGGTGCTCGGGAGCGCAGGCGATCGTGATCCCGCGGTGCACGATCCAGATCGCGCGCTTACCCTCGTGACCTATCACGCGTGCGACTCCTCTCCAGTTAATAACGCTCTCGGGCCTTTTGCCCTGCTCCTTTTGGTCGTAGTAGAAAACCCAGTCGCCCACGTTGAAAGGTCCGCGTTCTGGTCGAACTTGTCGAAGCTCGGCCCTCTTGATCGCGTCCTCGTTGGCCATCTTCGCGCGGGCCTCCCGCGCCGCCTGCCGCAGCGCGCACTTCCTGGCAAACTTCGATGTCGGGGTAGCCGATGCCGCAATGGCACCGATCCTCTCAACCTCGCCGTCGTCCATGAGGTCTGCCGGGAGGCGAATATCTCTTCCCAGCACCCACTGCGCCGGTGAGAAGCCAGACCTCCTGCTCAGCGAGTTCTTCGCCTGGTTGATCTCTATCACGGCCTTCAGGACGTCCTCGCACCCAGCGACCTGCTTCGCCCAGACGACTCTCCTCCACGTGGCTTGCCAGGTCTCCGTGACGCTCGACCTTGGCAATATGCCACGCTGCCGCCTTGGCGGCTGAATCAAATCTGCACCCTCGACTCGACATGTGCTCAGAAAAACTGCCCAGGAAGCCCTTGGCCCTGTCGACGATGACTCCAACCTCAGACTCACCGGCCCAAGATGCCCAGCACAACTCGTAGGTCTCCAGCACCGTGGTTGAGCCCGTCATCTCGTGAACTTCGCCAAGTAAAGCAACCACCTGAAACCATCCCAAGCAGACAATATTCAGAAACTGCCACTCTGCTTGGTCTGCGTCCTTCTCGGCAAAGGTGTCAAAGCCCACGACAACGTTGAACTCGTCGACGCTCGGCAACTTGCTCGGCTTCGCCAGCAGCGGTCGCCTCGTGCGTTCACAGTGCTCGCAGGAGAAAAGCCTGCACGCCTTGATCGCGGCCTCCGAGGCTCTCGAAATCCTCCAGGCCCTTAGCATCTCGATCTTCGGCGCGTGACCCAGGTTCTCGTGCAAGCGTCGGATCGCCACCTTCAGATCGCGTGGTAGCTGATCCCATCGCTGCTTCCTCATAGTCTCCTTATCTTGCTCGCCGTCCTCTGCCTCGCCGATCTGCGCGCCGTACACCATGATGAGTAGGTCGGCCCCGGCGATCTTCATCACCCGCTGCTGCGGCGACAAGTTGGTCCAATCCTCCCAGCCGAGCTCGGACCACACGCCACGCTCGGACCGAGCGTAGGCAGTCCGCATAGGCGCCTGAGAAGTATGCAAGTGAGGCACCACTGCGAGCAGAGAACGTGGATTCCGTCGTACCATAATCAGCTTCACGCTGGCGGACGCCTCCTCGAGCTCGGCAATCTCGGCGGCCCTCCTGTCCACCGAAGGCCACAGCAAGGTGAGGGGCGTGAGGAAGCCGACGAAACTACTGAACATCTCCATCACCTTGTCGACTTTCTCCTTGGCCATGCTGAGCCAGCCGCCCTTGCGCGTAACTCTCCGCCTGAGTCCGCCTGCCCCTCCGAGTAGCTTTGCCCCTTCTTGGAGGGAAGCTCGGTGGCCAACCCATCGCCCACAGGGAGGCTCGACTCCATGTGTCCGTTGGCGAGTGCGGCGGCGCTGTCGATCTCCATATGCTGCTTCACTCCTTCGCAGATCGCCGTCGCCATCCTCGGAGGGCAGGCCGCTGCCTGAGCTGCTCTCTTCCCGGCGGAGTTGTTGCCCTCCACCATCTCGCGAGCAGTCTTGCACTTGCAGGGGATAGCCAACTTGTTGAGAACGCACTGGCCGTTCGCGAGGTAGCCGGCCAGCTTCTGGATGGGCTTGCCGCTGTCGATGTCCTTCTTGCCGAAACCGCACTGAGCTCCGCAGGCGAACCAGACATTCGGCAGCGCGTAGATCTCAGCCAAGATGTTATTGTACTTCCAGGAAGCTGCTGACCATGGCTGTTCTGCTAGAAAATATCGATGCCTCTTATAACGGCGTGAGCAAATGCGCTTCACCGACGTGAGCACTCGAACTCCGTAAGTCCTTCGCAGAGTCTCCCAATCCACCGTCGGGCTCACGTTCGTCATAACTGACCATATGCGGCAATCGAAGACAGTGATCGTGAGGTACGGGCCGTGCTCGTCGAGGATCTCGAAGAGCAAATCCTCGCCTTCCTTGGTCATCAGGTCGCAGTCGTCTATCTTGTCCAGCGGCTGCGAATTCGTCCAACCAAAAACTCCTGGTGCCACTCGTGCAGCGATAGAGCTGCCGCCCCAAGGCTCGAAGATCATCGTCTTTTTGAAACCTGATGTGGCCATCCTCTCTGTGAGCGTATACTCCTTCTTGAGCGTCGCCCAAGTCCGCTTCTCCTCAGCCGCTATTCTTGAAGCTGTAGTTGACAACTCCTGTGCTCTTCGATTGGCGAGCTCGCCTCTCGTTTCTGACTTACGCACACCCCTCGCTGCCAAGGAGATATCCGACTTCTGGCCAGTCTCATCATTCGAGCCCGCGCCCTGGCGACGAATTGCATCTATCTTGACAGTGTCGCAAGTCTCCTCATCGTCGCAATCGTCGTTCTCCAGATATGCATAGCCACCCCTGACCACGTCCATGCACGTCGCGAGGTGCACGATCGCGTCGCCCTGGGATGACTTGAGCTCCATACGTTGTAGTACCGAATCTTGGTCATCTCCGAACTGCGATACATCGATACCTAGGTGTGTCGCATTCTTCATCTTGATCAGAGGTACTGTGATTCCTTATGCCGAAAGCTCCAAATTCTTTGCCTTCATGTGAATGTGGCCGTCTAACATGTCCAGGGCAGGTATGGAGATCAACAGTGGAGTCGTCCCGGTCGATCTCGGTCGAGTGCGCCTCTCCTCTGAATCCTCCAATGCCGATCGGGATCACGTAGACGTCGCCCTGCTGCTTGGAGCCGTTCGCGAAGGTGAACTTCCGCTGGATGCCCGTCTTCCTGCAGGTAAGGCCAGGAGGTAAGTGCTTCTCGAACCTCTCTCCCCAGTTATTGCTGCGCATACAAAGGGCACAGGCGGTGTCCACAAGGGCCACCACGTCGCAATTAATTATGTTGCAGTCAGTGCGCCCCACGGCGAAGGCGAACTGTGAGTGTCCCAGCCTGCTGCCGCTAACCTGGCCCCCGGCATTGAACAGGGCGAGGCTCTGCGGGTCGAGCTGCGCGGCGGCGAGCTCGTCGGGCGATGCCAAAATGGCTGCCCACGTCCTTGACCTCAGAGGCTCCTCAAGACGGCTTATGCATCCTTGACTGAGGGACGTCGAGCCCCCTCCGCGGTCTTGCCCTTGCATAGCGTCGAAACGAACGGCCCGAAGGGCCGCCATCGCGCAGCATCTGCTGACCAGTCGTCCAGTTGATCGTGCCCTTGCACCGCATGGTGGTGTTGAAGTTCAGGCACCCGTAGAACTTGTCGCCGCCCAGGTTGTCGCTCTTCACTTGCGTGCCCTGGCGGCGGCACTTCGGACAGGTCAGCTGCTCGATGAACGTGTTGTCCTCGTCCACAAACTCCCAGGATGTGGACGCTCTTGACGATGTAGCTGCTGCCTTTGGCCTTGCGCCCAGTGACTTGGCGCCAATCTCCTTCTGCTGCTTCGAGATGTTCGGCTTGGTCAGCGGGACCTCTGCGGTCTTCTCCAGCTCCTGGCGCTGCTTCGCCTGCTGGTAGGCCTGAATCTCGGCGTAGAGCGGGCAGAGCTTGTCTCCTCCGTGATGCCCGTACTTGCCGCAGTCCGCGCACTTGATGTTCTCGCCCGGTGCTCTCGTCAAAGTCCCGTCCGAGAACGCCGCTGCGGTCCTTGACACACTGCACCCCATCTTGACCTGCGCCTTGCCCGAGTAGCGCCCCTCGAGCCTCTCGATCAAGATATCCTCCTTGCCGTTGGTCTGGAGCCCGAGCTCGCTGAGGTGACTCTTGAGCTCGTACTGCTTCCAGGCCCTGAAATCTGGCGTGGTCGGGATGTCCTCTGGTGCTGCCGACGGCCTCGGGGCCGCCTCTCCACTGCTCGCCGCTCCTGCCGACTTCTTCCTGTCCTGGTCGTAGTCCCTGTTGTGGTAGCTGTCGTCCTCGCGCTCGTCGTCTGGCTCCTCCTCCGAGTCCGTGTAGAACGAGTCCTGCTCCTCGTTCGTCCCGTCGCGGTCGCACGAGACGTCGTCGCCGCGCACCACGAAGGAGGTCGCCTCTTCCATCAGCTCGTCCTCGTCTACGGCGCCGTCGAGCGTGAAGTACGACTTGCCTCCGCGCCCAGGCTTATTAGCCTTGGGCTTGCCGCTTCCGCGGCCTCCGCCTCGTCCTCCACCGAACTTATTGTCGCCTTGCTTCCCTGTCTTCGGACACACAGCGTCTCCTGCCCAGTGCCCGATGCGACCACACGCTCCGCAGCGCGTGCGCTTCTTCTCCTCCTTGATCTGCTCCTGACGCTCCTCGAAGGTCACCTCGCCTTTGAAGAACCCACGCTGCTTCTGCGTGTCCTTCAGCTTCTCCCTCGCCGCGTCGTAGGCGCTGTAGGCCTCGAACACGTCGTCGTCGTTACTGGCTCCGGCGTCGCTCGCAGCCTCTTGGTCGCCGTCCGCCGCGTGGGCGCCCTCTTCGAACTCCTCATCCGTGATGTCGTCCTCGTCGCCGCTATTGTTGTCCTCGACCTGGTTCGCCTTGCCGCCGCGCCGGTTCTGCCACTTCTGCTTGCGGGTGCTTGTCGGCGCGCTCCGTCTCTCTTTCTCGTGCAGGTCGTGAAGTTGACTCTCAACGTGTGCTGGAACATATCCAGGTTGTACTCCGAGTTGCTGTTGAGAACGATGTTGTGCTTCTGCTCGTCCGTGAGGTTCGCGCCGTCCAGCAGGAAGTACGCCATCAGATCGTCCGAAAGCGTGGTGTTCTCGTCGCGCTCCTGCAAGTCCTCCCACAGCTTTTCCTTATTCGAGAGGTACTCGCCCATGTCGGTGCCTCGCTTCCGAAAACTCCGCTTGAAGAAATTATCGAACGCCATGCCCTTCTTAACTATGGCATCCTTGTCCAGCGTCGCCAGCGCCTCGAAGATCCGCCTCTCGCCGCCATCAGCACGTACTTCTGCGGTCTCCTGTGCGAGGTGCTCTGCGCGTCGCCATGCCCGACCATGTAGTCCGTCGAGCAGCTTCACCCTGAATCTGCGCTTCTTCTTCCCGAGGCTCAACGCGATCGCTTCTTCGTCATCTCCACTGCCTTCCAATCGCGCCAGCGCCAGCGTGACTCTCTTCTTATACTCCTTGAGCAAATCAGGATTCTGGCCGGTGTAGTGAGGCAGCCCATCTCTGTCCACAACTATCTCATCGTCACGGTAGTAAGACCGTCCAGCTCCTTGATCGCTCATCTCATTGCTCTCGCTACTATTGGGCTCTATGTCGGTCCTGGTGAGCGTTCGGCCACGCCCACAATCTCGAAACCACCAGCTCCGCAATACCAGTCTGAAAGCGTATGGTAGATGTCAATGATAAACCTGTTTATCGCATCCACGGCCCCGCACGGGCCACAAGCTATCTGCGGGGGCGCCAGGCGCCCAGTACAACAAGCTCTAAGGCCGGCCTTGCGGGCCGAGACGGGCAGCGGGCAGCGGGCGAGGAGGCAGAGGCAGGTGCACTCAAAGGGGCAAGTAGACAAGGTACTGGCAGGAGAGGGTCAGGGCTAGGCGGGCTCCAGAGGGGTCCTCGGGTACACCTCCAAGGAATCTCAGACTAGTCGGTGCAACTACGTGGTGCAAGCTATGTGGTGAGACCTATGTGGTGCAGGCTCGGTGGTGCAACCTACGTGGTGCAACCTCGACGGACCCCCCCCAGGCGCGTGGGCGACAACGAGGCGGCAACGGGCGGCGACGCGGCGAGACCTCGGCGGAACGCCCAAGAGGGCAGTAACGAGACGGCATCGAGGCGGCAACGGGCGGCGGCGAGAAACAGCTCGACGGACCTATCCGATGCCTTAGGAAAAGAAGCAAGAACCCCTGAACTACTCCCCTGTCCCCCGAAGACGTCCAATGGGCACCGCGCCCTCTCCGCACACTTGCGTGTTACACACAGATCTCAACAGCTTGGACCATGTAGCGTTTGTCACTCAGAGTGTTCTGGAGCTTCAAATGGTGCTCCCGCTGCAGCCTGGACCTCATGATAGGATCGGCGCTTTGCTCCCGTCGTTGGGAGTTGCGCTCTCGATCCCGCCCGTGCCTCATCGTTCTCTCCTCGCCCCCTTCCCCTCCTCCGCCTTCCATTGGGTCCCCTGCTCCTCCCGCTCCTCCCACTCCTGCTCTTGCTGCTGCTGTTCCTACTCGGCCTCATCCTTCCTCATCCTCATCCTCATCATCCTCCTCCTGCTCGTCCTCCTCACATCCGCATCCTCTTCCTCCGCCGCTATGACAACCGCCGCCTGATGTATATATGTATATATACACATATATACATATATATATATATATATACATATATATATATGCTTCTCTCACCTGTTTTTGTGCACTCCGCCAGTCAGGCCAGGACCTCTGGGGGCTACTCAGGGGTCATTCCAGGAGTTGGGAGAGTTCCCGTCCCTTCAGCGGCATCCAAGGGCCTCCCAACCCGCCTGGCACAGCCGTGGCGCTTAAGCACCCGCGCTGCGTCCCAGACGCGCTGACACACTTGCACCGCCGGGAGGTTAAACGTCACCAACCCCTGAACCCCCTAGCTCTCGTCCTGGCAAATACTCGCGCGGAGGCAGGCACGGCCACGCGCGAGACGGTAGCAATGTTGCCCCCTGTCTGTGGGTGGGCCAACACAGCTACGGAAGATGGATGAAACTCAACCGTTATCCATCAACGGCGTCGCGCACGCTCAGGTGGACTCCGCATAGGTTTCCTTGGAAGGTTCATATATGCTTCTCTCACCTGTTTTTGTGCACTCCGCCAGGGAGCTTGTCAGGCCAGGACCTCTGGGGGCTACTCAGGGGTCAACCCAGGAGTTGGGAGAGGTCCCGTCCCTTCAGCGGCATCCAAGGGCCTCCCAACCCGCCTGGCACAGCCGCGGCGCTTAAGCACCCGCGCTGCGTCCCAGTCGCGCTGGGCCCTTGAGCCGCCGGGAGGTTAAACGTCACCAACCCCTGAACCCCCTAGCTCTCTCCACGGTCCCTACTCTGGCAAAAGCCGCTCCCTCTTGCTCTTACTTATGCCCTCCACCTCGTTGTAATGAAATGAGGGAAGAAAGGTGGAGGATGGGCGGGACAGACAGACAGGCAGCACAAAGCAAGAACAGTTCATCTCGCTTCTGCTCGCAGGCGGGACGCGAGCAGGCCGCAGCGCTTCCGCTGCGTGGGCGAGAGATTTAATTGAGTGGCCTCGGCGACGGCGCATTCCTGGACATAAAGCGGGACCGTGGTGCGCGCGAGGCCCATCTGCCTAGGAGCAGCGTCCTGTGCTCCATGGAGCCGTGGCTTGCGGGAAGTCGGCGGAGGCGCCGCCCCGCCGCCAGCTGTAGAGGGTGAGCTTTGCATCTTGCAGCTCCAGCAGCTCACGCACGCGGCCGAAAGTGTTCATGAAACTGCTTGGCTCCATCCCGAGGCACAAGTCCTGTCCGTGCGCCTGAGCCTTTGCTCTGGCAAGGAGGGCGACCGCTACACCACTCCGCACGAGCACGAACTCTCGGGCACCAGTCTGATGCTGGCTCTTGGTGTTGCGCAGCTGCAGCACGGCCATTCGTCGGAGTGGATACAGCTGTACATCGGACCACACGAGCGAGGTCATCTCACCCGTCCGGAGGAAAGCATCGTAGCCTGCAGCCAGCACCGCCGCAGCACCGAGCTGGCCCACGGCCGCAAATGCACCAGCGAACGCAGCCGCGATCAGCGGACCGATCGGCAGCGCCCGCCCAGCTGGCTCCAGGCGTTGCCACGTCTTGGCCAAGCGCCAGCTGTCCCGCAGGTGCCCTCGCACGGGCGGGAAAGCGTGCGTGATGCCTGCAATTGCATTATTAACCTCAAACAAAGATCCTCCGCTCAGCCAGCGGCTCTCAATGAAGGCGGCCACGCCAGCGTCGACCTGAGCGGGCGTCTGCGGCTGCCGGTGCTCCTGGATCCAGAAATCAACGACTTCATCGACTGCCGCACGGTACCGCTGCAGGGTGAGTGGCGTGACCATCGCCTCCCTCAGCGGTTGGGACCTCGCTGCAGCTCGTCGTGCCATCGCCTGGGCCGTGACCCTGCTCACCTTTGCTGCTGCTTGCGCTGCACGCTTGCTGGGGGCGGCCCTCCTGGCCCTCGCCTGCGGCAGCACTGGGAGCGAGGCAGCGGCGGCCGAAGCTCCAGCGGGACGGCGTGTCGGCGGGCATGTCGTCGGTGTCGCAGTAGCCGTACAGCGGGTACCCAGCCGTCGCGAGGAGCAGGGAGTTGAGCCGGCGGAGTGCGGGCTGCAAAGCCCTCGCGCTCGATCTGCCCTTGGTGCTGACTGCCGCGATCGCTTGGGCATCCAGAATGTGCAGGTAGCGGCAGCGGTGGTTCTCAACTGCTCGGCACCTCCAGCGCGCTCCAGCCACCGCAGCCTCCAGCTCCAGCGCCGAGATGTGCCCGGGCCGCTGCCAGCGAAAGCCTTTGGCGATCCGCCAGGCCCAGAGGTGCGCACGGAGTGCTGCCCGCGGCCACGCGCGGGCGCGGTAGGGCGCCCCGGTGTCGAGCCGGACGTCCGTGCCCCCGCGGTCCGCGACCCTCAGGAACTCTACGATCAGGCTGCGTTCCAACTGCGGGTCGCGATGTCCCGGCTGCTGGAAGTCGGGGACCACGTTCCAGTTCGCCTCGCACGTGCCCACAGCGAGGCAGCTGCTGCCTGGGATGGCGGCCGCTAGCGCCCCCACCTGAGCGAGCCACGAGCCGAGAAGATACATGACAGCCTGGACGCAGAACGTATTCCCGATCAGGGACTCAATGACGCTGTCTCGCTCGGCGGCGGGTGCACTATCTTTTACAGCGGCCTGGAAATAGAGACGGTCGAACCCCATCAGAGCAGCACGCTCCTCAGGCACGGGCAGCCGGCCCCGCTCACGCCTCGCATCCCAGATGAGGCTGCCGTCCTCGTAGTTGTTGACCTGGTAACGGTAGCTGTCGGCAGCCCAGCGCTCTGCGGCCCTCACCGAGGCGCGGTCGAGGCCCACGGGCCGAAACGGCGGGTGACTTCGCGGGATCGGCCTCGTGAAACAAGGGAGGTCTGCCTCAGGGTCCAGCGTCGACCAGCCCTCCAGGAGCGAGGCACTCAGTGGGAGCCTCTCCACCGCTAGCGAGACCTTGAAGTACGCGGCTTCTCCCACACCCTTGGTCTCGACGGTGGCGTCGGACGCCAGGAACGCCGTGACCGGCCGCGAGCACCAGTACAGGCGGGGCCGCCTGACGTGAGTGAGACACCTGGCATCGAGGAACACGGGCGTGACTCCAAGCGCCCTGGTGAACTCCGCCCTCGACTCTAGGGTCATGCTGAACACGTTCTCGACGAACCACATGGTGCGCTTGGGAAAGGCAGCCTCCGCTGCCTGGATCAGCTCGGGGACCCGGAAAGGAGCCTCGACCTCGACCCCTCTAGGCCGGTCCCCACGACATTGATGCTCGCGAGGTCTTGGCACGGGCTCCCCGCGGTCAAGACGACCCAGTCGGCGTCCCGCGCGTAGCCCTTCAGCATCTCAGTAAACCACGCCGCGTCGACGGCCTCGATGTTGCCAAGCTCAATCACGCCCGCCCAGCGGCGACGCACCAGTCGCCGGGCAGCGGGCTCGACCTCGCAGCTGACATGGGCCATCACGTCGATCGGGAGTCTGGAGGCCGCCACCGCGGCCCCAGCGGCGCCTGCGAAGAGCTCGATGAGAACTATGCGAGGGCGCCACCGCACTCCCCGCACAGGGGCCGCAACTGCACCAGGCCGCAAAGTCACAGCCGAAGCTCCCCCTCTCGCGCACGCAACGCCCTGCGCCGAGAGCCCGGCCGTGTGGCAGATGCCCCCGGCGCGCTCGCTGGCATCGGTCGCTATGACACAAGTGTCGATCTTTGCGCGCAGGTCGGTGTAGGCCAGCGGCAGCGCCATCGCGAAGCCCAAGAGCTCGTCGCACATGCCAAGGGGAACAGCCTGCGGACGCGTCCAGCGCCCAGCAGCCCACACGCTGTTGAGGAATCCCATGAAAGGCCTCCTGAACTCCGCTGCCCTGACGCACCTGCCTAGGATCATGAGCATGCCCTGCGACGAGAGGCCCTGTCTGCCCATGCCCCACAAGATGAACGCCAGCAGCTGGTGCAACTTCTCGGTCGTGACTCCGACCCGGCCGACGGCCCCGTCAAGACCCGCGCCCATCCGCTCCAGGACCAGCGCGCGGTGCTTGGCCTTGCCGGGGGCGACGCTGATCCCCGAGCGGCCGTAGGCGGCCCTCTGCTCCTCCTGCGCGCAGCTCATCGTGCCGAGGAGCTCCGCGACCATCGCGTTGGGCACCACCTCGCCATGGTCCCAGTCGTCGATGTAGTACTGGATCCACTGCTGCTCGAGCTCCTTCGACTTGAACGGAAGCGGCCGGTCTTTGCGCCACTCGAGCTCTGCGGGAAACCCCGCGGCGAGGGGGCGAGAGCCGAACCCGAGGCGCCTGTGGCAGTGCTGAAACACCGTGACCGCGTTGATCCAGCCCATCGGGATGACGCGCAGCGCGAGGTGAGTCTTCCCAGGACCCGGCACACCGATGAGCTCGTTCGGGATCGCCTCCGCGAGGGTCATGTATGGCTGCCAGGCCTCGGGCAGCTCGTAGCAGTAGAAAGCGGAGGCTTGGTCATCCGAGGACCAGAGCAGCATTGTGGCCCTCTGGTGAGCGGGGGATGGCGACCCACGATGGGACGCGCTAAGGGGCCCGAATGTCCATCCCTCATGATTGCGCTGGTAGTCTGTGGCCGGGGACCATGTTGATGATCAAAACGCTGGACGCAACGCTTGCCAGGTGACGGCCCGTGCCTCCCGTGCCGCCCTTGGCGACCCCGAACGCCCCAGCGAGCACCCTGCGGCTCCCGACCTTGAAGATGCGGTCGTCGGCGATCGGCGCCGCCAGCCCCAGCTCGACGAGCTTGGTCCCGATGCGGTACCACTCCTGCTTGGACGTGACCTGGATCGCCGCCCGCGGGACCTCTGCAGGCCACTCATCTCGAGGGAGCAAAGCCAGCGTGGGGTCGGCAAGCCAGGCGCCCACCTGAGCGTCCGCGATGTCGACCGCCTTGACAGAGGCGGCGACGCCTCGCGCGGGGAGGCCTGGCATGATGCCCGCAAGCGAGAGCGGCAGGGCGCGGGCCGTCTCCTCGCCCCCGTAGGAGACGGTCCTCGACGCGATGACCTGGTCCCAGTCCGGGAGCTCGAAGGCTGTGGCGGCATCCTGAACGAAATACTCACAGGCCTCCTGCACAATGCCGAGCGCACTAACCTGTCTAGCCGTGGGCCGCCTCGCGGCGACGGTGGGACTGCGCATGTGCCCCGTGTACTGGTAGTTCAGGCTGAAGACCACGAGCTGGGCCCACCCCTGCGCCGTGGCGGCGTCCACCTCGCAGGTCTCCGGCAGCTGCCGGTGCAGGTACCAGGCGGCACGGTACCTCTCAAAGAGTGGGGCGTCGGGCAGCGGTAACGGCAACACCTCGCGCAGCCGCGCGAAGCTGGCCGTGGGGTCTGGCGAAGTGCACATCTTACGAACGTACCGCCCGATCGCCCCTGGCGAGCCGCGCACCGCCTCGTGGACTGCGAGGGCGAGCCTGAACTTGGAGCTGACGCCTGTGCCCACCTCGGCTAGCATCTGGCGCCACCGCCGAGCCTGCGAGCTGCCGCGTAGCTGCCGCTCAGGCGGGCGGAAGGAAGACGGGAGCGTGCTCTGGGCCGCGGCCTTAGCCGCGTCGGCCCTCACGCCCGAACCCAGGCCGTCCTGCGAGCAGTGCTCGTGCCGCGGCTCTTCCCCGTCTTGCCTTCGCCGCGGCTCTTGGCAGCCAGCGGCCTCCCGATGCGCGCCTTCCACGCTGCCTGGGTCTCGCCCTCGCGCCTCGGGTGGGCCGCCTTGTACTGCGCGAAGCTCCGGCCTGCCGCCGCCTCCGCTGGTGGCACGCGGGCGGCGGCTGCTGCGTCGAGGTCCCCCTCCGAGTCGCTCAGGAGCTGGACTGACCGCGTGGGACTGCGGCTGGTCCTCCGCGCTGCTGGCGGCTTCTTCCCGGCGGGGGGAGCTGCGGGACCGTCGCCTGGAATTCGTCCGGCAAGGATCCTCATCGCCTCGGGCGATCCCGAGACTGGCGTCCCGGGAGCAGGGGGCGGGGGGCGCGCCTCCGCGCGCCCATGGCCTGCAGGTGCCGCCCCCCCCTGCAACGGAGACGGCTCCCGGCCAGACCCCTAGCCCGGCCTGCGGTCTGCAAGTCGCTGGCGGAGTTCGGCGACCTTCAGCTCCCGGGCCTCGACCTTCTCGGCAGCGTTCTCCTCGTCCAGAGAGGCGCCTGATGGAAGCTGTTCCTGCGCGACCAGCGTGAGCCACCGTGCCGACCGCCAGTTCCCGTCGCGGATGGCCATCGTCCGCGCCTTGAACTCCTGCATGAGCAGATCCGCAGTCTCGACGACCTCTCCGCGCAGGATGCCGTCGAGCGCCAGCCCCAGCGTGCGGAGGACCCGCACCTCGTCTGTCCCCAGCGTCCGCGGCGGGTGAGCAACGAAGAACACCGTGTTCAGGAACTGTGTGACGCACGGGGCCAGAGGGTCGGCCTCGCCTGCGGATAACTGCTGGGTGAACTGGCTGCGCAGGTGGCCGAGCCCATTCTCGAGGAGAGCGCCGGGCCGCTGCCGAGCGATCCTGCGGAACAAGTCGCGCTTGATGTTCACGCCCTGGTAGCGGTCGCGGCCCCCAAGGCGCTCCGCGTCGCTCTCCGCGCCGTCCTCCGCGTCGTCGTCGTCGCGCCCCAGGAGCGCAGCGGTCAACGCTGACGCCAGCCTGCTCCTCGACCCCGTGGCGCTGGCGCGCGCAGGGGCAGCAGCGGCGGCTCGGCCAGCTACCACCTGCGCCAGGCGCTCGCCCACGGCTCCCGCTGGGCGCGCAGCATTCTTGGGCGTGCCCTGCCTCGGCACACCACGAGCTGCCCTGCCCCCGAGCCGCGCCAGCCGCGCCTCGAGCTCTGGGTCCTCGGCGGTCTCCTCGAGCCCCGCAATCTCCTGGTCGAGTGGGCTCGTCTCTCCTGGTCCCCCAGGGGTCTGGGTGCCCTCCACCTCGCGGGCACGCTTGCGCGGAGGCCCGCGAGGCTCCTCCTCGTCCTCGTTGGCCCCATCCCCGAGCGGCCAGCCGCCGAGCTCTCCAGGCATCGGCTCGGCCGAGGGCGCGTCGGTCAGCACAGGCGCCCCAGGATCCGCGGCCGGGCAGATGAGCTTCGCCTGCTCGCGGGCCACATCGCGGGGGTCCACCACCTGCCACACGTCCAAGTGCTCGACTACAGCGCCCACTGGGGCGACCGCCCCGCACTCTGCGGCGCTGCACTTGCAGAGGTGGAAGACCGTGGCCAGGGGGCGCGCGCCCTGCTGCCCGGAGGAGGCTGCATACCATGAGAAGTACGGGTCGCTGGCGCCCACATGCCGGCCCTTGAAGAAACGGCCGAAGGCGTCCGCTTGGTAGGCGACCTCCACTTCGAGCATCTCGACGCCCTGCGGCGCCCCGAAGTCGTCCTTGACACGCGCCAGGACCCGTGCACCTGCCCACAGCGGCAGCCCCGGCACCAGGTCGCCGTTCAGCGCCGCGTCGAGCCAGGCCCCTCTCGGGAAGGGCCACCCGACAGCTGCCGGGGCTGCCCGCTCCATCGGGCTCCTCGCCAGCAGCAGCGCGGGAGAGGGGCGACCCGCGCCCGGGATCCTCGTCTCCCAGCCAGGTCTTCGCTCCCCTCAGCCCGCAAAGTCTGCCAGTGAGGCTGATCAGAATCAGTCGTCCGAGCGTGGCCCTGCAAGCGGCCGCGCTCGGCGCGGCAAACTTTCAGTAGCCAGAGTGGCTCGGCAGCGGCCACAGACGGGCGGCACCGCCCGGTGACTCCGCTGCCTGTCTCCAGCCAACACAGCTACGGAAGATGGATGAAACTCAACCGTTATCCATCAACGGCGTCGCGCACGCTCAGGTGGACTCCGCATAGGTTCCCTTGGAAGGTTCATATATATATATATATATAGATAGATATTTCCCGATGTGTGCTGCCACGTGCGCGGGCGCACCTGGCAATCTCTGCGCGTGCTCCGGACGTGTGGCGCAACCGGCGCGGATGGACCCTGGGGTACACATGGCGCAGGTGGAGCGCGTGGCGCACCTCGAGGCGTGCCTGGCACGCTTAGCATCGGATTCTCATCACCTCCCTGACTGCACTCTGAAAGCCCAAGCGCCTGGATCAACTCAGGAACGTGGAGCCTTCCTGGCGCTTTCCTGCGCGAGACGTTGCGCTTCCCTGCCGCCTTCCTGCATGCTGCCAGACCTGGCGGCGCGCACAGGGGGGAAGGGGGAGCGGGGGAAGGCTTCTTAGAAGGAGGCTGCTTCTCAGAAAGGCGCCGGCCCTACATCTACAGAGAAGGCCCGGCGCCTTCTCAGAAGCAGGGGTGCTGCTAAGAAGCCTCCTCCCCTCGGGGGCCCTACCCCCCCTCCGCGCGCGGCCGGGAGGCACCGCGCGCTGCCGCACGCCCCGCTCGGTGGCACCCTTCGCTCTTTCGGGGGCCCGGGCGGGAGGCCCCCGGAGGGCCAGGCTCTCTGGCCGGCGCAAGCGTCGGCCGCGCAGCCGAAGCCGCCATGGTCGTCCTTGACCTCGCCCTCCTTGGACTCCTCGACGCTCTTCCTCTTCGCGTCGCCCGCCCTGAGCGCGGCGCGCAGCCCCCCCCCCCCCCCCCCCCCCCCAGGAGGACGAGGAGGAAGAGAAGAAAGAGGGGAGGAGGGAGGGTGAGGGTGTTTTCCCATGTTTTGCCTGTGAGGCTCCAACTGTAACAGGCATCTGTGGAACATCGTGCGATGTACTGTCCTGGGGGTGACCCCCGACATGAAAGGGGCCCGAAAAACTACCCTCTAGCATGCAATTAAGCCTGTGCCCCGGGAGCCTCATCCAGCAGGAAAGGGTCAATGAACGGTCCCACGTCGCCCCTATAGCTCCTCAGAGCCCCCCCACATAGTGAATCAATATTTTCGGCGACCTTATTGACGGACGGGGGCCCCACTAGTAATGGAGAACAGTTATTTCTCCGTGACACCCGCCGCACAACAACGAAGACGACGACGACGAGACGAAGACGCGACGACGACGACGACCAACAGTGGAAAACATATTTCTCCGCCGCGACGACGACAACCACGACCACGACTACGATAACGACCACGAGGAAGAGCAGGAGGAGGAGGAGCAGGAGAAACTCACATACACACGTACCACGTCTACGCCCACAAAGGACGCCCATGGAATGAGCTCGCCGACTCAGTGGCCAAGAGACAGAGCGAACGTGAAGAACCATGTCCACAACCACAATGCAAAGAGGTATTGGACGCCAAGCACCGACGCAGTTGGGAATGGTTAGCAAAGGCAGACGGTACAACTCGGGCAGCATACCCGAACCTGACCGACCACGGCATGACAGCCACACCGCCGACGGCCACGGCGACACCGGAGCACCTCGAACCAAGACAGGGGTAGACCAGCAAGGGGGTGACGGTCAGCCTTACTGCGATGACCTTCAACGTGCGTAGTCTCAGGGAGCCAGCCACCCCGGCAGGGGACAGTCGAGAAAGATCACGAGAGTCGGGGTCATCAGCTACCAGCTCAAGCGCATGCACTTCCACCTCGTCGGCATGCAAGAGACCAGGCTACCCAGAGGTACGACCAACATGCACTGCTTCCACGTAATATCCAGCAGCCACGAGAACTAGGACCTGGGCTGCCCACTGCTGATCAACATGGACTTGCCCTACCCCACAAGAAATGCCTCCACCCAGACTACTTCAAGGCACTCTACTAAAACCCACAACTACTTGACGCCCGAATTGCATTACGGCACCGGGCCCAAAAAGAACAGTGGCGGTAGCTCACGCAACACGTGGACGCTCTGGACAGCAGAAGACATATATATATATATATATATCTCTCTATATATATATATATATATATATATTCTGGACAGGAGGCCCAAAAAGGGGAGACGAACGAAGGGGAGAGGTATGGGTACGTTTTCCTCCTCTGCTTATGATCGAGGACGCATGCAACAAGACGCAGTACACTGTGCACACACCATGCTCTCGCCCTGCTCCCTGCCTCTGCGTGCCACCACGGCTGCCCCCGCCGCCGCCCACACGGCACGCGGCCACGACTGCAGCGGCGGCCACGGCGGCGAGCCCTCGCAGTGCCGCGGGCCGCTGCGGCCGCTGCCGCCGACGCCGAGGCCGCCGCCGCCCAAAGCCGCCGAGGTGCCGCCTCAGCGGAGAAGAGGAGGAAAGAGGAGGAGGAGGAGGAGGAGGAGGAGGAGGAGGAGGAAGGAGGAGGAGGAGGAGGAGGAGGAGGTGGGAGGAGGAGGAAAGGAGGAGGTAGGAGGGGGAGGCAGGAGGAGGAGGAAGGAGGAGGAGGAGGAGGAGGGGAGGCAGGGAGGAGGGGAGGAGGAGGAGGAGGGAGGGAGGAGGAGGAGGAGGGAGGAGGAGGTTGAGGAGAGGAGCTCCCCCCCGGGGATTTGGCCGCGGCGGTGAGCGGCGGGCCGACCATTGCGGGACGGGGCGCGTCGGGCTTGCCCTCGTCCTGCTTGGGGTGGGGGGCGCGCCTTCGTGGGCACGTTGCGCGGGAGGCGTGCGCGGCGGCGGGGAGGCGGAGGGGGAGGGGCGCGTGCAGCATCTTTTCGCGCTGCTTCTCATGTCTTCCCTCGTGTCTTCGCTGCTCCTCGTTTCCTCCCCCTCCTTCTCCTCCTCCTCCTCCTCCTCCTCCTCCTCCTCCCTTTGTGTTCCTCCCTTCGGTGTCGTTCTTCATGCGGTTCTTCCTTGTCCTTCCTCCGTTTGGGGGGGGGAGGGTACGTCTTTCGGGCGTCCTGTATGATCGGGCGGGGGAGAGGGCGCGCGTCGCCCCACGAGTGTGCCAGCCGCATGCCTGCTCCCACTCTCACCCGCCGTCCCCCCCGTCACTATCACGGGGACAGGGGGGGGGAGGAGGGGGAGGGGGAGAAGGGGGAGGGGGCGCTTCCTCCTCCTCCTCCTCCTCCTCCTCCACCGATGCATGAAACGTCTCTGTCTCTCTCTCTCTCTCTCTCTCTCTCTCCCTCGCTCCAGAAGTCCAGATACCCGTCGGGGGCTGACCAGTGCAGCCCGTGTCGGGAGGACGAGCGGCCGCATAGGACACATACTTCACAGCGTAAGAGGCCAGGGGGAGGTCTGCCCATCTCGGGCCGATCGGGTCTCCCTTTAGTCAGAAGTCGTACTATCCGAGCCCGACGTGCGAGGAGAAGGAGGAGGAGGAGGAGGAGGAGGAGGAGGAGGAGGAGGAGGAGGAGGAGGAGGAGGAGGAGGAGGAGGAGGAGGAGAAGAAGGAAGGGGGGGAGGAGGCGGAAAGGAGGAGGAGGACGAGGTAGGAGGAGGAGGAGGAGGGGTGAGGGTAGGGTGAGGGTGATGATGATGATGATGATGGAGGAGGAGGAGGAGGAGGAGGAGGGAGGAATGTCGAGGAGGAAGGGAAGGAGGAGGAGAGGAGGAGGAGGAGGGGCAAGAGGAGGAGGAGGAGGAGGAGGACGAGGAGGAGGAGGAGGAAGAGGAGGAGGAGGAGGAGGAAGAGGAGGAGGACGAGGAGGAGGAGGAGGAGGAGGAGGAGCCGGAGTGGCAGTGGACTGGGAGCAGTGGACTGGGAGCCTCTTTCGGAGGGCGGCTGAAGAGGCGGGCCTCCCAAACGGCACCGTATTGTGAATGGAACAGCGATGCGTTACGATCCGGGCGCCCCGATCACTCGAGCTCCGTTTGGCAGGAGTCGGATCCCCTGCACCTCCTTTTCCCCTTCCTCTCCGCTCTCCTCATCGCTCCTGCCTCGTTCCTACCCTCATGATCATACCTCCTCCCTTATCCCTCCCCCTCTTCACTACTCCTGCTTTTCCCTCCTCGTCTCCGCCCTCCCTCCCATCCGCACTCATCATGTTCTTTGCTCCTCTGCTATTCCCTCTGCACACTTGCACATTCTGGATACTACTCCCCTCTCTCCCCGGACTCCGTCCAGAAGATAATCAGCTCTCTCCGCCTATAATCTTGGTAGTCGTGGTTTCAAATGTTGATTGTCTGGTTTTTGGTGCTTCAAAATGGTGCTCTCGCTGCATCGTGGGCCTCATGTTTGGATCGGCGCTTTGCTCCCGTCGTTCAGAATTGCGCTCTCGCCCCAGCGCGGGCTACTGTCATGGATCCCAATCCTTCTTCATCGTTGTCGCCCCCTCATCTTCCCTCCTCCGCCTTCCCCTGGTCCTCTTGCTCCTCCCGTTCCTTCCACTCTCCTTCGCATCTCCCACCCACCACTGTCACCTTCTCCTCGTCGCGGCGAGGAGGCAATGGTATGTCCTCTGGGGCCCCTCCGAGCTGGACTGGCCTGCGGGACGTGCCGCCCATGAGCATCTCCTGTGGCGCGCGCGGAGCAGCGCCGTGCAACTGCGGTTCAGCGGGGCGGCCACGACTCGCTGCGCTGGCGGCGCTTGGTGAGGACTCGTTGGTTAGACAATGGGTCCAAGATCTCAGGGGGAATGTCCAGAGGGGACCAGTCCAGGGGGGGAGCATCGAGCTGGCATCGGCGATACATCGCCGATAGATCGGCGATGGGCCCCCGGTAGCAAAACCGCACAGTCCTGGGCGGGGTGGGGCCATCGTCGTGTCCCTGTCGGCGATGCATGGGCGATCGGGGGTCGATGCGTCTCCCCTGAGCCCGGCCCCCCGCAGCACGCCCCCCGAGGCGAGGGCGCGCCAGACAAGGGGCCCGGGATCCCGGCCGAGGGAGCGGCGCGGCGGCCCCTGGCCTCCCCAGGACTCCTCGCCAGCATCGAGCACATCGCGCGCGAGGCGCCTCGCCGTCTTCGGCCTCGGGGGGGGGGGGGGGGGGGGGGGGGGTCCGCTCTCCCAGACCGCGGGGCCGCGACGAGAGGAGCGACGAAGGGGCCCCAGGACACACAAATAAATGCACACAAATAGAAGGATTCCCCGTATTTTCCCATATTTTCTGGGTTTCTGTCTTCCCCCCCACTTCCCATGTTTTCCCATATTTTCTGGGGGGGTCGACGATTAATTGTGTCTGTGTGTTTCTTTCCCTCCTGAAGCGACTCCGGAGGAGCAGCCCGTCCTGCGGGGGAAAGGCGGGTCGACAGCTCCATGGGGCCGGCGGCTCGAGAAACACAACACAAGTCGTGGCGCTGCTCGTGCGGGCGATGCTGGCCGGATGCCTGCTGGAGGTGCCCCTGGCCCAGGGTGCCCCCGGGATTTCCAAGGAGGCCCCCACGGCCTCTGGAGCACCCCCCACGGGGCCCCGCGGGCCCCAGGGGTTTCAACTTGAGCGAAAAGCGGGGGGGGGCCCTGGGTAAAGTTGCCCTTTCGCAATCCCCTGGCTGGAACCGCTGAATCCAAGCATGTTGACGTGTCACCGGCTACCGCAAGAGCGGTCTTTGGCAAGAGTGACCTCTGGGGCGCGGCCCAAGGGGCACCACCGCGCGCGCAGGCAGCTACTATCGCATCGCATTCAGCGATCCAGGGGGGCCCCATCGGGCCCACACCAAAGGTCACTTCGGCGAAGGGTCACTCTTACAGCCGACCTGAACCGTGAGGGCGCACGAGAAGGATGCAGGGGCATCGAAAGGCCACCTCGAAGCTGCTCCAGCGGGGCGCGGCCAGCGAAAGCGGCCGAGGCTGGACAGCGGAGGCAAGGATTAGGGGAACAAAAAATGTCATAAACAGAAAAACTCGGAGGTCCGCGCGGATTTCTCGGATCGGCGCTGGACCCCCCTCCCTGGCGCGCGGAGCGCGCTAGGGGCGGCGCCAGAGGCGCCGCCGGGGGGCCCCAGCGCCGATCCGAGAAATCCGCGCGGACCTCCGAGTTTTTCTGTTTATGCCACTTCTTGTCCCCCTGTCGCGGACCTCCGAGTTTTTCTGTTTATGCCACTTCTTGTCCCCCTGAGGATGCAAGGGTACCCTTGGGGAAGGCTTCCCCTCCTTCCTCTGCGGGTTGCCTGCACGCCCAGCCGACTTTTACTTCCGCCGCCCTCCGGCGACCTTCTGCCAATTTCAAGTCGGGCCTGTCCCCCTACAGGGGGATTCTCGAGGAGAACTGAAAAATACCCTAAAAATAAGCTAAAAATGATCCAAAAATAGTGCGGGGACTATTTCTTGATTATTTTGTTGACCTTTTTTTGAATATTTTGGGGGTATGCTTTGAATTTTTTCGTCGAAGATCCCCCTGTAGGGGGACAGGCCCGACTTGATGTCAATTTGTTCGCCGGCCGGGACCTCCGCCGCCGTCCCTCCGCGGCCTCCTGCCGGCCGGCCGGCCGGCCTCCGCCCCCGGGGCGGGCGAGGGCCTGCCCGGAGCGCGCGCCCGCGTCTCCGCGCCGGGTTGCCGGGGTCCGTCCGCAGGCGAGGTTTTTCGCGCGACTCGGGGACCTTCGGACCCGGGTCAGAAAACAAATCACCAAATCATCAGAAATAGTACAAAAGAACTGTCCCCAGGCTATGTCTTGACTATTCTTGAATCTTCCTCCGCTAGAGGGACGTGCCCGATTTCTACCCAAGGATAAAATTATCCCGACAAAGCAACCTAACAGCGATGAGTATAAGCATATCTGGAAGCATTCCCCTTCAGATTCAGGTGAGAATCCAGTTGTAGAATTCTGCTGTTCTCGCAGTCGCAGTCGCAGTCGCAATGACAGTCGCAGTGACAACGGCCTTAGGATCCAATGGAATCCTAAGGATTCCCAGGGATTCCTAAGGCATCCTTAGGCGTCCTTAGGAATCCATAGGAATCCTTAGGAAACCTTCGGAATCCTTAGGAATCCTGATTCCTAGGGATTCCTAGGGATTCCTAGGGATTCCTAGGGATTCCTAAGGATTCCTGGGGAATCCTAAGGATTCCTACCTGAGCCTGCCTCGGCCTCAGCCTCAGCCTGCCTCAGCCTCAGCCTGCTCAGCCTCAGCCTCAGCCTGTCTCAGCCTCAGCCTCAGCCTCAGCCTCAGCATCAGCCTCAGCCTGCCTCGGCTTGCCTCGGCCTCAGCCTCAGCCTGCCTCGGCTTCAGCCTCAGCCTCAGTCTGCCTCAGCCTCAGCCTGCCTCAGCCGCAGCTTGCCTCAGCCTCAGCCACAGCCTCAGCCTCAGCCTGCCTCAGCTTCAGCCTCAGCCTCAGCCTGCCTCGGCTTGCCTCAGCCTCAGCCTGCCTCGGCCTCAGCCTCAGCCTCAGCCTGCCTCAGCCTCAGCGTCAGCCTCTCAGCCTAAGCCTGCCTCAGCCTCAGCCTCAGCCTCAGCCTGCCTCAGCCTCAGTCTCAGCCTGCCTCAGCCTCAGCCTGCCTCAGCCTCAGCCTCAGCCTGCCTCGGCGTGCCTCAGCCTCAGCCTCAGCCCGCCTCGGCCTCAGCCGTCCTCGGCCTCAGCCTGCCTCAGCTCGGGCAAAATATGGCACAGGACTGGTGTTCTGGGAACACGAAAATCACGAAGGGGCCAACAGTTGGCTCCGGCAATCAAAATATGGTACAGGGATGGTGTTCTGGGAACACGAAGAAGACGAAGTGGCTTACAGTTGGCTCCGGGCATTCAACATGTGGCCTGGGAGTAGTGTTCTTGGAACACGAAGAACACGAAGTGGCCTACAGTTGGCTCCAGGCATTCAAAATATGGCCTGGGAATGGTGTTCTGGGAAGACGAAGAACACGAAGTGGCCTACAGTTGGCTCCGGGCATTCAAAATGTGGCCTGGGAATGGTGTTCTGGGAACACTATTCCCAGGAATCGAAAGGAATCTATAGGAATCTATGGGGATCTACAGGAGTCCTGGGGAGCGGATTCCCCGGATTCTCCCGGCACCCGCCCAGACCCCCCTGGGGAGTCAAGATGCTCTCCTTTGACCCCACTAGAAACCTATCAGTCTTCGCTGTTAGGTAAAAAACACGGATTCCTCGCTCCACCCTTGGGGATCTTCTGACCCAGGTCAGTCCAGACCCGGGTCAGCAGGCAACCAAAACCTGCAGTGCAGGAAAAAACAAAGAACTGCAACGCAGATCTTCGCAGACCTGGGTCAGCCAAGATGCGCGGCCGCGTCGCGGCCACGAGCGGCTCGCTAACCCGGGTCAGCCAGAGGGGGTCTTCGCAGGATCCTGCAGGATCTGGTGCCCTGGCTGACCCCCGTTTGCCTTGACCCCCGTCTCAAGGCTCCCGAGTGATTCGGAACGCCCGTGCGCTGGCTCCTCCGTGCCTGACGGCGGTCTCGGAAGGAAGCACGCGGGAGAGCAAGACCGAGGAAGGACGTTGAGGAGCAGGGTGAGAAGGACTGGGGGGGCTGGGGGGGGGATCAGGAAGAGGATGGGCACCTATGAACCGATGTGAGTATGAGATGGGAAGGGCGAGTGAAACACTGAGCGAGCAAAACGCCACAATGAAGGAACGATCATCACGCGTCCAGGGTGGTCGTACAAGTTCATGAAGGAAACAAGAGGCCTCACAATGAGAGGCCAGGGGGCACACCTTCGAGCCAACCAGGGCGAGCTCGGGCGCTGCAAGCAACCCGAGCCGAGCACGTCCAATGCACAAGCGGGCTGGATGGAACACGGTACGACAAGCGGCGCGCAGCTCGTATTTTTCCCTGGCCCTGGCCGGAAAGCAGGGAAGGCAAGGAGGGAGTCAAGTCATGCAGTCGGCCCGTACCATAAGGATACACGATCAGGATGCAAGGGCATTGAAGGCCGTTTCGAAGCTTCTCGAGCGGGGCGCGGCCAACGAAAGTCGCCAAGGATGGAGGGCGGAGGCAAGGATGCAAGGTTACCCGTGGGAAGGTTGCCCATCCTTACCAGGCGGGTCGACTGTAGGCAGGGGTGTCCCAGATGTTGATGGCGGCGTCGTGGATGTGAAGGTACTCCTGCTCCTGAGGCTGCGCCCTCAGACCCCCGATGCCGTGCACTTGCTTCCGCCCCGCTGTTCTCTTCACGGCCTCGGCATCGAGGGGCGCCCTTCGGGGCCCCCAGACCATAAGCAACTTCGGGCAAGGACATCCAGGTAAGGTCAGGTCCGACACCGCGCAGACGCGTGTACCAATCGCAAGTTGCTGATGAACCACGAGGTCGACAAGCCCACCGCCTACGTCTTCTGCGGCCTCGTCTTCCGCCAACGAGAGAGGGATGTGTTGGTCGCTCCTCTCCAGCCCCCGCGCACAGGTGTGCTATCAACCACAAGAATCGCGCCCTCCTGCCTGCCACCTCCTGGTGCTCAGAACGCGTGCCCTTCGCCGGGTCTCGCGTCCCCGACCCCAGGCGGACAATGATGTCGAGGAACCCGCGTGAAGGAACAACGGGCAGGCGTCGGAAACTCACCGGGTACAGTTTCGCAGGAAAAAGGAGCCCCGTTGCCGATACCACGGCCAGCCCCTCTTCGTTTTTTTGCACTCCCCCACAGTCTTCCCACCACCGTCCTGGAGGAGGAGGAGGAGGAGGAGGAGGAGGAGGAGGAGGAGGAGGAGGAGGAGGAGGAGGGGGGAGGAGAAGGAGGAGGAGGAGGAGGGAGGAGGAGGAGGTGGGAGGAGGAGGAGAGGAGGAGGAGGAGGAGGAGGAGGAGGAGGAGGAGGAGGAGGAGGAGGAGGAGGGAGGAGGGAGGAGGGAAGGAGGGAGGAGGGAGGAGGGAGGAGGGAGGAGGAGGGAGGAGGAGGAGGAAGGAGGAGGAGGAGGAGGAGGAGGAGGAGGAGGAGGAGGAGGAGGAGGAGGAGGAGGAGGAGGAGGAGGAGGAGGAGGAGGAGGAGAGGAGGAGGGGGAGGAGCGGCGGGCCCTGGTCGCCGATCGCGCTGGGATATAGCCTGGCTGCATGTGGTCCCACCTCCCCCTCCACGGATGTCTTCCTATGTCCGTGAGGCCCTTGCTGGCCATCGCTCGGACGTCTATGCTTTTTGTGTTTTGTTTCGGTTTCGTGCGTGGTGTTTTCGCCAAATGGTCGAGGATGTTCCTCGATGGCCCTCGCCGAAGGAACAATGCACACGTCCGAGCGATGCCAAGCCCTTGCATATGGACGGAAGGAGTCGCTGCGCCCAGCGCACGGGTGCAGCAGGAGAAGGGCGAGGAGATGGAAGGTGAGGAGATGAGAAGAGACGGCCAGGACCACATGTGACTTTGGTGGCGCGCACAAGGGGGTAGGGGGAGGGGGGAAGGCTTCTTAGAAGCAGGCTGCTTCTTAGAAGGCGCAGGCATTGCATCTATAGATAAGGCCCGTGCCTTATAAGAACCAGGGGTGCTTCTAAGAAGCCCTCCCCCCCCTCCCCCCACCCCCCTCTGCGCGTGGCTGATGACTCGCCATTGCACGTGTAAACATCGGTGCGCGGCTCACGAACATGGCAAACGAGAAGCCGGCGCAAATGGCAAGCGCAAATAAGTGCATTACCCCACGTAGCCCAGAAGAGAGAATCCCGACAACTCCCTGTGTGTGTGGTTGAACGCTTGAACTCTTCCAGTCCGCTTTCTTCCACCTCAGGGAGGGGCTTCCTCCTCCCTCTACCTCACGTTGCTTTCAATCTGGCACCTGTTAGGGGCTTCTTGCGGTTTCCTGGGGGCCTCTTGAGGGGCTCTCGAGAGCTGATTGGGGGCTTCTTGGGAGCTTCTTGGGGGTTTCTCGAGAGCCTCTGTGGCTTCTTCCCAAGCGGCCTCGACGGGGAACCCGAACGGACATGTCGAGCCCTCGATCCCAAGAGGCTCCCAAGACGCCCAAAGAGGCCTAAGCATCGATTTCGCTTTGGTTGTTGAAGGATGTTGCTGTTCTCATCTGTTCGGCTTCCCGGCGCTCCAGGACGGCCCAAGAGGCTCCAAATATCGCCCCAAGACGGCCTATAGGAGCCCTCCAAGAGAGCCCCAAGAGGGCCCAAGAGGCCTCCAAGACGGCCCAAGATATCCCCAGGAGGGCCCCAAGAGGGGGCCAGACGGAGAAGCCGAACGGACATTTCGAGCCCGCGGCCCCAAGATGCGCCCAGGAGGCCCCAAGAAGCCCCCACGAGCCCCCCAATAGGCTCCGAGAGTCTCGCAAGAGACCCCACGAGGCCCCAACACGTCCCCCAAGAGGCCTCAAATCTGCCTCCCAGAAGCCCGCGGGAGGCCAACCACGAGAGCTCAACCAACATCCATGAGGCCTCTGACCCACCACCCACCGCCTCCGAAATTGGCAGCCGCCCAACGGCACCACATTGACAACAACACCCCGACAAACGACAGCGGCGAGGCAAAATGGGCTGGCAGAGTGAGCGAAGCGATTAAATAATCTCAAAGTCCTCCAACAACGCCCCCAAGCAGCTTCAGTATTGCTCCTTGTTGATTGACTCGTGGTCTCTTCGCGCCTAAACGCCTCATGGTTTCTTAGGGTTTAGTCACCCGTGGGAGTCCCGACAGGAGGCCCTCCAGCTTATCGAAGACGATGTGAGAGGGGAGTGTGCAGGCCCTGAAATATGCCCTCTCTCTTTCTGCTAATGTGCGATATTGCGCTTCTCTGATCTAAGGCAGCTCGCCTAGGAGGCGTTGCTGGATGGGCTGATGGGGATCTGCGAAGCGTCGAGAATTTCACGTTGAAGGGATGGATTCTCCTCGAATGACTCCCAGGTCTGCAGCGACCTCTCTCTCTCTGTCCCTTTCCCCTCCGATTCACGCTCCTCAATCTGCTGAAGTCTGGTGTCTCTCGGGACTCTGGGAGGGCTCAGCCACTCACTAGCACGAGCGCTTCCTCCACAACTCCCTCCCCTCCGTCCCCTCCTCTCCCTCTCCGTCTCTGACTCTGCCTTTGCCCCGCCCCCCCCCACACCCCACACCCAGCCTCCCTCTCTCTCTCTCTCTCTTCTGCTCGGCCTCGCCAGGGCGCAGCGGGATGGACGGTCTCCTTCTCCATGGAGGGATAGAGCCGCTTGTAGCCGCTGCCCCTCGCCAGCACGTCGTCCTCCCACCGCGTCCTCTCGTGCGCCGCCACCTCGCCGAAAAAGGGGGCCGCCCGCGCGGCGTGCGGCCGGCTCCACTCCCTCGCGCGCCCCCGGCGTGCGCCTCCGCGCCTCCTCCGTGCACGGGGGGGGGCCCTCTGAAACGGCCCGCCTCTCGCATGCTGCCAGCTTCCTCCCTGGGCCAGGGAACCCTGCTATAGGGAGCCGAACTCTACACACCGCCGCCGCCTCTTCCGGCCCTGCATTCGAATTTTGCACCGGGGAGCGGGTCCTGGTGTATATGGGGGACCCTGGTGTATACATGTTTCGTTCTTTCCCCGGGAGGTCGGGGGAAAAGTACCAATACGACCACCCTGCGGGTGATAAGGAGGTTTGGGGGGGAGAGGGCCAGCAATGGGCAACAGTGGCGGTTGTGGTTCTGACGATGCCAATGGAGATCGTTGCGTTGCCGCTCGCTCTTGGGAACCTTGGTGTCGCATTGTTTACGTCACCTTTCGCTCTTGGGCGCCTTGGTACCATTCCCCCCCCCTCCCCTGGGAACCAACGAAATAATAAATTATTTCGTTAATTTTGCAAGGGCTTGGGGGGCCGTTTGGGCGCGTCTTTTGGACCTCTTTGGGGGCTCTTGGGGGCCTCTTGGGGGCTCTTGGGAGCCTTTCGGGGATGGCGCACGCTTGCTGCTTTTCCAGCCCCGCGCGGTCGAGCATCGGAACGTGGGCACGGGACACCACGGGACACCGACGGGACACCGATGGGACACCGACGGGACACAATCGATCTCACTGTCGATCTCACTATCCATCCCACTATCGATCCCACTCGATCTCGCTATCGATATCACTATCGATCTCGCTTTCGATCTTCCTATTCATCTCACTCTCGATTCCACTATCGATCTCGCTATCGATCCCACTCGATCGATCTCACTATCGCTCTCACTATCGATCTCACTATCGATATCACGATCGATATCACTATAGATCTCACGATCGATCTCTCACTATAGATCTCACTATCGATCTCACTATCGGTCTCATGATCGATCTCACGATCGATCTCACTATCGATCTCACTGTCGATCTCACCACGGGACATCACGGGACAACGACGGGACACCGGCGGGACACCAGCGGGACACCAGCGGGACACCGGCTGGACACCGCGCGCCACCGGTTGCCGGGCGGAAAACCTGTTGGTCCGGCCGCGGCCCAGCCACGACGGGACACCGGCGGGACACCGGGACACCAGCGGGACACCAGCGGGACACTGGCGGGACACCGCGCGCCACCGGTTGCCGGGCGGAGAAACTTTTGGTCCAGCCGCGGCCCAGCCACAAGAGAATTTCCTTCCACCGCCCACGCAACTTTGCCTCGCCCGCACGCACGGCACGAACACAAAACCGAAGTCGACTTCCCGGTAGGGGGGCTCTCCGTTCCACTTCGATCTCACCCCCCAACCTCCGATACACCACACCACCCCAGCGTCGTCCTCGAACCCCAAGAAATCCTGGGATTGAAAAACAGCCCGCCACTGGTAATGTATATGTTCCAGTTTCCGACTTCTCTGGGCCAACGAACCTTGCGATTCGCGCCCCACATGGGACGCGCATAGACACACCAGCACGATGTCATCTCCCTGGAGGCGCGCGTCCGATCCCAAAACATGGTGTACCCATCCTGTAGCATATCGATTCCCGAACGGTATGGCGAGAAAACGCGGGCCACGACGCATATACTATAAGATTTCTCGGTGCGCGCGTCGCCTGGGCGGCGCACATATCATCCTGGTATGTTGGGGCGACGCCGAACACAGATCACAACTCGTGACACGCTGCTACCTTCACAACCTCTCCCGTACAGCGGCAACTTCGCGAGTCCGCGAATAGGCGGCCATCTTCGCGCCCCGCGGATGAACTCGTCTTCCCCGCGATGCCGCTCTCGTCTGGCTGTCAGCGCTCATGCCCCTCTGGGTGCCACTTCTCGCTTGTGTCTCCTTCACAGCACGCTGGCTGTGCACCACCGCCTCGACCGGCACACATCAAGCCACGCGCAGACGGTGCACAGGACAAGGAGGAGGAGGAGGAGGAGGAGGAGGAGGAGGAGGAGGAGGAGGAGGAGGAGGAGGAGGGACGAGGAGGAGGAGGAGGAGCGAGGGAGGAGGAGGAGGAGGAGGAGGGAGGAGGAGAAGGAGGAGGAGGAGGAGGAGGAGGAGGAGGAGGAGGAGGGAGGAGAGCAGCCATTTCTGAAAAGGAGCTCCGGCAGCGTGGTGGGCGGAGGCCAGGACTGCAAGGAGACGCGTGCCCGATCGCCTTCTCCTGCGCCAGGCGGTCCTCTAAGCTCTGCTTCTTGAGGGCTCCCATGGCGCGCTGCTCCATCTTCTCGCGCGCCTGTCGGCGCTGCAGGAGCACGCACTCCGCAGAGAACGACAGCAACGTCGGCTGCGACCCGCGGGCAGGATGGGGGCGACGCTGAGAGGGCGAGGAGGTGGTGGTGAGAAGGATTAGGATGAGGAGGAGAGGACGAGGCTCATGGGGACGAGGAGGATACGAGGATAAGCAGAAGTGAACTTTGGCACTGACGTGCTGGCTTGACGGGGGTCTCAGGGGGAAACAAGGAGTCCTGTGCTCGCTGTGCTAGTACATGCTGCACTCAATACGCTGGACACGCCAACCGCGCAACGAGGCTGCTGATGATGAGAAGGAAGATGAGGAGGAGCAGCACCGTCTACACAAACAGATCCGCCGCCGTCCCTTCAGACACGCTGCGGCAGTGTGTGCAAACCAGGTGCTTCCTGGCAGGGTTCCGGGTAGGGGCTCCGTAGTCTTCCGAGCCCCCCCTCCCTCCAATGGCCTTCTGGGCGGCCCGACGCCCACCTGGCGGTCTCCAGCGCCTCCACGACGGCTTCCAAGATGGCCCAGGAAGGAGGACCCTCAAATGCTTACGTACGAGGCCGAGAAGGCGACCCAAGCGGCCCCAAGGTGCCAAAGAAGAGGCCCGGAGAGGGCAAGCGAGAGGGGCAGGCAACCCACACAATGCTTCTCAACCTTCTCGGCGCAAGCTGGTCCCCAGAGCGCTCGAGAGGGCACCAGGACGCCCCCTGGTGAAGCCCTCAACAAAGTCCAAGACGGCGCGAGAGGACCCCAAGAAAACGCCTGCAGCAGGGCCTCAAGAGAAACCAACCAAGAGGTCCCACAGAGCCCAAACGACCCGCCCTCAGACGAATCCAAGGGCCACAACATACCCCCAAGAAGTGCCTTGACCCTAAGACATGGCAAGAGGACTCCACAAACATTTCAAAACGTCTCCTGTCCCCCCTCTTGCTTCGGCTCTCTTCCGCGTCCTGCTATTCTCCTCCTTTTTCTTCTACACGCAGTGGCCGCTCCTGTACTGGGGAAGGGAGCAATTGCATGTCACGGCCTGGGCGTTGCGTATGAAGGTTTCGAAATGTTATTGTCGTATAGAGCGTGAAACGCAGTGCAAGTCATAACGCTGACAGAACTGTAGCAGAGACGCTCTGACGGTCTGTCGGTGCCATCTTGGCCGTCTTGGAAAATCGTGCGCACGCCACGGTGGCAGGGCGAGCTTTTCGGCTTACGGCGATTCGCACCTAATGGCACATCATCATGTTGTTTTGGGGGGAAGCACGCGCAAAAGCAACCCGCATCCTGTGTAGCCAAAACATAGCCTCAGAGACGTGTGCCAGCTTTCTGGCAACGGCTTGAGCAAATCCTGCGCCTGCCTTGCGCGTGCAACCCTGTGCATGCGCATAAGGGGATCAGAAAAGACTGCGACCAACGCATCTCGCCTCATCAAGGTTGCGCCGGTGAGCGGTACAAAGGAATTGCGCGCCAAACCCGCATCAAGTGAGTATTCTTAGGTCGGGCGTGTCCCCCTACAGGAGGATTTTGGAGGGAGAATTCACAATACTCGAAAAATGCCCCGCAAATGCCCCCAAATACTGCAAACATAGTCACCAGACCATTTGTGGACTCTTTGTGAACATTCCCCCTGCAGAGGGACAGGCCCGACGTAAGAGCACTCGTGCGCCCTCTGACCCTCCTGACCGCTGCCGCCCCCTCCCAGGCCAGAGACTCCCGACTAGACTGTAGCCGGAGGGAGGAGCCGCCGCCCCGATCCCTGCAGCCCGATTCACGCACTTGTGTGGACGAGGAGCACGCCGCACTTGGCGGGGGGCGCACAAGGGGGGTGGAGGGAGGGGGGAAGGCTTCTCAGGAGGAGGCTGCCTTCCTAGAGGGCGCCGGCCTCACATCTACAGATATAAGGCCCGCGCCCTCTAAGAAGCAGGGGTGCTTCTAAGAAGCCCTCCCCCCTCCCCGCACCCCCCTCTGCGCGTGGCTGACGCACAGTGAGGGTACAACCGGCCTCGACTGGGACAGGACACGCGAGAGGACACGAGACCCTTCCGAGGGCCGCATCGCCACAGGAGCGCAGGAAGGCACGTGTCGCGAGGCACGGGGCACAGGGGTGCCCTTGAGCTGGCAGGGTCGGCCTGCTCGTCCGGGCCGACTGTGTGTGGAAGCCAGAAACGTTTTCATCCCTCTTGAGGGCGCATCCTGTACTTCCGTCGCCTTCCGCCGACCTTTCGCCCGCGGCGGCGGCCTCGTCTTGCCTCCGCCGACCTTCCGCCACCCTCCGCCGAGGAAGAGACGGCAGCTCCTCCGGTCCTCGACTGGCCATCGCTCGGACGTCCATTCCCTGTGTTTTTTCCGGTTTCGTGCGTGGTTTTTTCGCCAAATGATCAAGGATGCTCCTCGATGGTCCTCGCCGAAGGAAAGATGCACATGTCCGAGCGATGCTAAGTCGAAGGCGAGGCCCTTCCTGGATCACACCTCGGACGGTGACCCGGCCATCCTGCCGCTGCCGGGGGCCGCGGCCGGCCGAGACTCCGCAGGCAGCTCCGGGCCACGGCTGCAGGCAGCAGCAGCGCCCCGCACGTCCGGGCCCGTCTGCGGGCACCTCCCCGAGGGGCCTCCTCTGCAAGACGGCAGCCGCGCCGCGATGGCCCCGCCGACTCCATGCGCTCAGACGCCCGACCGGGTTGAGAGGAAGAGCAGGAGCAGGAGGAGGAGGAGCAGGAAGAGGAGGACGATGATGACGAGGAAGAGGAGGAGGAAGAGATTTCCGCCAGACTCCATCCAATCTGTGAAAGACGAGAGTATCGGGTTGCGAAGGAAGCGGCGAGGAAGACACAGGGCACGACTGTGTCATAAGCACACTCGCAATATCTGCGAGAGTACAGACGATCTGAGCTGTCGTTATGATGGCTGTCGATGCGAGGGGCCCATCGCCCGGCTCGAACCGATCCCTAGCCCCGAGATGGGCACGCCAGCAGCGATGGCAATCTCGGCGACGGGCCCTCGGAAACTGCGGGGCCCCCCTCGAGATCGGCATCGAGGCACGGCGGTGCCAGACACCGGGAGAAGGCTGTGCTTCAGACTGGTAAGGAGGAGGAGGAGGAGGAGGAGGAGGAGGAGGAGGAGGAGGAGGAGGAGGAGGAGGAGGAGGAGGAGGAGGAGGAGGAGCAGCTGATCGTCACGCGACAGCTGTCGTTCTGCCGTTCTGCCACTCCCGCGGGCCCCACGCCCGCTCGGCGCAGCACGCAGTCACCGAGGGCGGGCGGGGGGGGGCGCGGGGCCGCACCTCCCGCTTCTTCTGGCGGCGGGCCTGGGGTGGGTCGCGTCGTCCTCCTTCTCGTCCTGCTGCTCCATGCCCTGCTCCTCCTGCTTCTCCTCCTCCTCCTTCTCCTGCTTCTCCTCCTCCTGCTTCTCCTCCTCCGCTTCTCCTCCTCCTGCTCCTCCTGCGTCTCCTCCTCAAGCTTCTCCTCTTCCTGCTCCTCCTACTCCTCCTCCTCCGCCTGCCCCTCCTGCTCCTCGCGCTCCTCGTGCTCCTCCTCCTGCTCCTCCTCCCCCCCCTCCTCCTGCCTGCTCCTCCTGCTCCTCCTGTTCCTCCTCCGCCTGCTCCTCCTGCTTCTCGTGCTCCTCCTCCTCCTGCTCCACCTGCTCCTCCTCCTCCTCCTCCTCCTCCTCCTCCTCCTCCTCCTCCTCCTCCTCCTCAACTCCAGGCTTCCGATGCGACGAGTCTTTTTAAGCAGTGGATCCCCATGGATTGCGGAACCCCTCCCAAGGACTGATCTTTCGTCGCGGGTCGGTCTCTTGGTGGCCCCGATGCCGCAAAACGGCACCTGGAGACCGGACTCGCGCAAACACGCCAGGATTGAAACTACCACGGCGTCTGGGGTCTGGAACTCCTCCTCCTTTACTTCCTCCTCCCTCTCTCGTTGTTCCTCTAGTGCTGGAGGGGCGCGAGGCGGAGGGATGCATGGAGCCTAGAGCAGAGACTCCTCTCCGCCGCCTGTCCTGCTGCTCAATGGCCCATGACACCACCCGCCTCTCACGCGGAAGAAAGGACAAGAGACAAGGACGGAGACAACTACTCATGCCTACATCCGCCCTACGCGCCCCCCTCCAAGATGAGGAGGAGGGGGGGAGAGAGTGAGGCGCATGAGGAGGAGCATGGTGGTGGCGATGCTGATCACAATGGGGGAGGGGGGGGGAGCGGGAGGGACAACAGTTTCAGTGCGAGGAGACCGTAGGGCGACGAACTCTGCACCCATCCACTGCTCCTCGGCCAGGCCCATCCCGAACCCCGCAGCGGTGCAGACGCCACGCCCTCCCGGCTCGGCCAGGAGGGCGCGTGCACAGCTCCTGGGTGCAGCGCGGGCACTGGCCAGGGAGCGGCGGAGATGTAGATTGCACTCCGTCGCCCGAGCCGGGCGAGATGCTCATGCTGAACGTTGGCGGCGCGCAGAGGGGGGTGTGGGGGAGGGGGGAAGGCTTCTTAGAAGGAGGCTGCTTCTCAGAAGGCGCCAACCGTACGTCTGCGGACGAGGCCCGCGCCTTCTGAGAAGCCGGGTGTTTCCAAGACGTCCTCCCCCTCCCCCTTTGATAATGCTGTTGAAGATGATGCTGATGATGGTGATGCTTGAGGGTGTTGGTGAGGATGTTGATGATGTTGATGATGCTGACGATGTTGATGATGTTGCTGATGATGCTGATGCTGATGTTGGTGAGGAGGATGCTGATGGTGAGGATGATGATCATCACATCAACAACATCATCATTGTCGAACACGTCATCATCATCATCATCATCATCATCATCATCATCATCACCGCCACCATCAGCATCAGCATCATCATCATCATCATCATCATCATCATCATCATCATCATCAGCAGCAGCAGCAGCAGCAGCAGCAGCAGCAGCATCAGCATCTGCATCAGCATCAGCACCAGCATCATCATAGCATCATCATCATCATCACCATCACCATCACCATCATCATCATCCTCATA